GATATAGATATAGATATAGATATATGTGTGTGTGTGTGTGCGCGCGCGCGTGTGCATACATACATATATATTACACACACATAGTTTTTTCTTTGTCAAAACACCTGGTATGCCCGCATTCTTTGATAAAGAAAAAACACTTAATCATTCCCCTGGCTCAGCTGATAAAGGGAGGAGAGCTTGTGGCTTAGAGGTTAATACAATTGCCTAATATGTAAACAGCCCAAGTTCGAATCCCAGCAAGGGTATGGCTAGCTGATGAGAGCTAAATAGATTGAAATAGATCTATACTAGTCTCCATTTATTTATCAGCAAAAATGCAACTCTATTTATCTATCTATCTGTCTGTCTAACGTATATAGTTGTATTTTTTGCTGTATATATACACACACACACACACACACATCAAATGAGATTCTGCTGCCTTTCTATATCCAGAAATGGCACAAAGCTATAATTCTCCTTTTCTGTGGCTTTTTAAGAGGGAAAAGCTTTAATCTGGGGCAAAACCTACACTAGAGTTAAGAGCTTCTTACGCTTAAATTACTCTCCTGTAAAAATGACTAAACAGCCTACAGGTAGTCCTTAACTTACAAGCACAATTGGGCCCAACATTTCTGCTGATAAGTGAGATGTTTGTTAAGTGAACTTTGCCCCATTTTACGGCCTTTCTTGCCTCAGCTGTTAAGGGGATCACCGCAGTTGATAAGCTAGTAACCCAGTTGTTAAGTGAATCTAGCTTCCCCTTTGACGTTGCTTGTCAGAAGAATGCAAAAGGGGATCCCATGATCTTGAGATACAGCAACGGTCATAAATATGAGTCAGTTAATTTTGATCGCATGATCACGGGGAATGCTGCTCATAACTGTGAAACACGGTCAGAGATCATTTTTTTCAGTGCGTTTGAAACTTTGGTTATTAAACAAACTGTTGTAAGTTGAGACATATTAAATAGTTATGTATTGCACACATTCGCACCTGGTACCTGCATAAAACCCTTGGAAAAGGATACATTGAGGGCGCCACTACTCTTTTATGTATCCCAGCAAAAAATAATCCAATTAATGTAATACAGCTAATGGTGAAGAATGGATGATTCCATAGAGACGTGAAAAAGGACACCTAGGAGAGAATCAAACAACTTATTTTTATTTTAAAAAACGCTCTTTCGCTGGATGAGTCAACACAAAACTTAAAAAACGGAACCCACAAAAACTGTTCAAGAACTGAAAATCTGTACTGTACTTTCGATTTCCTTCTCAGCAAAAAGCAATAAGCCTAATTTCTAATTTTTCTCTGCAACTCTGCTGATTTTTTTTTTCTTTTGGAGGTAGACAGATTCTAGTTGTTCACTTCTGAAATCTAATCTAAAAGACCCCAAAATTGTGATATAATCACAAATGGACAACTCCCCCTATGTTGTTCTAGACGTGCTTCTAGAATGTGCGGNTATACTCGAGTCAATAACTTTTCCAGTTTTTTGGTGGTAAAATTAGGTGCCTCGGCTTATATTCGGGTCGGCCTATACTCGAGTATATACGGGTACTGCAGCTGTGTATGGTTTGCCAATTGCACAGGGGCAGATAGGACAGCATTCCAGAGACTTAAAGTCATTGCCCAGAGGATCATTGGCTTCCCTCTCCCCTCTTTCGAAGAGCTTTAGAGCTCCGGATGCCTTAAGAAAGTTCAGAACATCCTTAAAGATCCATCTCATCCTGGGCACCCCCCCTTTTTTTTTTAACTATTACCATCTGGCAGACGGTACAGGATAATAAAAACAAGGACAAATAGGCTGAAAAACAGCTTCCAAAGCAGTAACAATTGAATTCCACTATATAGTGCAATATTAACGTAATATCAGGATTTTTAAATTCAATTGTATAGAATGCGAAGGATGTGTGCTTTTGTTTTATTTTTTAGGTATAATGTACACTGAACATGGCGTTTAATTTTGTCGTACGATGTGCAATGACAATAAAATAAAATAAACCGGCAACTCCCTCCCGCCAGAAGTTTCGTTTCAGGTGTCAAAACTCAACGTAGTTATCCAAGGGGAAAAAAAGAGTCACTTACATCATCACATGACATGTTGTATTCTGCCAAAACAGTTCGACATCGAGCGGCTATGCTGAAGAGGGTGTCAAAGAAACATACTTTCTCCATAGTCAATGGTCCTGCTTTCCTAATCCATTTAGCACACTGATTAAAAAGATACATTTCTGAATGTCTCACCAAATTTTTAATTTCCTGCTAACTGCTTGATAATTATTTAAAAAATGCTTATCAGCGACAAATTATTTTATATATATATGTGTGTATGTGTGTTGCATTTGTGCTGATAAATAAATAAAGGGAGACTAGTATAGATCTATTTCAAGCTATTTAGCTCTCATCAGCTAGCCTTATTTATCAGCTTATTTATCAGCACAAATGCAACACAAATGTAACAAAGGCAACAGTAAAAATAATTTGTCGC